GACTTTTTTTAAATAGAAGTTCAAGATAAGTACACAAAGGTCAGTTTTACAGTTAAAATAACCCAGAAAATGTTACTACTCCAGAGAATAACATAAACCCAAGTGCCTTCTTCACATTTCCAATATTAAATAAAATAGGTAACTTTAAATAAGCAGAACTATTGACTTTACAAAAACTTTCTAATTGTAATCCAGTTTTAAAAGCCTGAGGCTACACAAAGCAAGAACTGAAAATCCACTTGTTTACCTATATAAGCAAAACTCCAAGAATCCATTACGTCCAGAAAGTTACAAGTTCACAGCTACATCCATAAACAAGTTCCAAGTAAAACAAAATGAAGACAAAAGTCTTAATTATCTAACACTCATCGACATGTTACATAAAAGCATAATGAGGGGGGTGGGGACAGAAAGCTGGTAATGCAACTTAATATAAGTTAGTCCCATTTTTTTATTTTTAACTGAATGATAAAATAAAAAAGTAAGGGCTTTTATGAAAACAAAGTTCCTTGTTCCACCATCTATACACACACCCAGATGCCAGGATGAACACAATGTTCCCTTCATAGTTCCTATGTTCCATTCCAAACAAGAACTCATTAAATTTTGACAGAAATGAGAATTAGCTTCCTGACAGATTAGCAGTACTGCTGACAGTGCTTTATTTACTGCTGTAACCATGTTCAGCTCTGACTAAACAAAAATACAAATTCAACACTAAAAACAAAACATATATTTACACTTAGGACTAAGCTACTAACGTGCTTAAGTGCATTCATCTCACAATTATCACTGTTCTAGTGATAACCTTCATGCCTACAAAGGCGCAATTGTTCTCCACTACACACTACAGCAAGATGAAGCAACCTGCCCAAGATGTCAAGATGAAGGAATTAAGCATCTCCCTTTTGCCAAGCAGTAGCATAAGCCTGTCAATCCTCCTGTACATTAGGGCTGACAACAAACACCTTATAAAAGCTGACAGTCTAAATCGTTTTACTAAGAACGAACACCCAGCCATCACGATTTCATGGCAGGTTCAAACCCCGCACCGCTCCTGCCCCGTGCGATCCCAGAATGCAAACAACCGGACACTCGCCTTCTCCTTCCCAGCTCCTCACCGTTACTCCCACTGACCACCCCCCCCGGGTGGCTCAGCCCGCAGCACAGACGCCATGTGCGGGCAGCCACAAACCCACCCACCGCGAATCACCACCCCGAAACGCAACGGAGCCACTTTTGAGTGGGGCGGAACGCGGCAGTTCAGAACCTGCTGGGAAACCGGCAGCGGCAGCTCTCGAGTACCGCCTCATCATCATCATCATCCTCGGCCTCCAAGAACGGCTCTCCTTCGGCCGCCCCGGCAGCCCAAGCGGCCGCAGCACCAGCGGGTGCTCTCGCCCGGAGCCCCGCTGCCGCTACCGGCCCAGGAGGCGCCGCACTCCCACCTCCCCCCCGGCCCTCGCTCCCCGCCGCCCGGAAGGGCAGGTACCGACCGGCCGGCGGCCGCCCCGCCCG